ATCTTTTAAGGGATTAAATAGTTTCATACCAATATGACTATTTTTTCATTACATTTATCCTTAAACAGAAATTATATTTTGTGTAGAATGTTAAGAACCAAATTAACTTTTACTACATGCTTTGGAATTTGTTATACTTCCTATTGTGATTTACTGTAATAATACATACACAATACAGGATTATTGTTTTCTCGGTTCTCTTTGCTTCCAGTCTCCAGGACTGATGTGTAGAGTATCTGGTGCTGACAGTACATTGCACAACACTTCTCTGTGATATTATTAGATTTGTTGAGGTAAGCTTGACAGATTTTAAGGTCTTCGTTTAAATTAAGCACTTCTGAAATGTGAGTTTAAAAGTTTTAGTCTTACACTTATTTTTGCTCATATGATGTTTTCTTCACTTTGTATTTTAAAGTAAAATCTGTCACAAATTAATTAATTTTTTACAGATTTTTTTCACAGCTTGTTGTAAATTGCAAAACAGCCAGTATGTTTGATTTTGTACAAATGTTAGCATTTGAATCCTGCAAGAGACTTCTGTATCACCATGTTCAGTCAATTAATAAATTATATTAAGACAGTCAAAAATACCATGCTGTAGCTTAAAAAAAATTCTACCTTCCTCTTGTGTTCAGTAGTTGCCTTCAAGTCTTACGTTCACATGGACTTTGGTTGAAGTAAACATCATAATCTGTTTACCTTTTAAAATCCGTTTTTTTGGGTGACAGCAGGGCAAATAACCAGCAGTAGCAGGTCAATCTCTCACTAGTCAGAAAACTTAATTGAGCAACTATTTCATGTTATTACTGTTAGTTATTCTTTGTTCATATACCTTTGCAGGTGAGGGACTTGCAAAATAATCCACTGCTTGGCTCAGCCAGGAGCCTATATTTTGTCAAATATTTATTTTAATGTTTCTTATTTCTACTGTTGCTTACACACAGATGTGTGAAAACAGTATAAAAATGTGGAGCAATCATCTGAGCAAGAAGAAACAAAGCACAAAGACAAGCCTAGGAACTCTCTCTTGCAGGTAAGGAGAACCAGTCCATTGAATCACTTGCTTAGTGTTAAGTATTATAGATTACTCAGCAACATGTTCTTCTGTAGAGCCTTTTTGAAGATGATCTGTTTGACAAAAATGCAGAAAGTATGCTGATGGGAGGTAAAACTGCTCTAATGGGCAGTGGAAGCTCATGACAGTTTTAGTCATGAGATTTTTGATTTTTGTTTTGAGAAAATCTTAATGCACTACCTTAATGTACTAATGTACTAACCACTTTAAGTTAATGAGCTAGTTTATGAATTGAGCATCAAGTAAATGGTCACCACAGCTCTGCATGGCTGAGTAACTGTATCTGCTGCCTTAATAAATTAATCAAATGCAGTCAATGGCAGTCTCCACAGATATCCCCCGCACATTGTGTCAGTTTGTTGCTAGTTTCTGGAAATATATGATGATCTTGCGTAGTACTGTATTAGGAACAATGAAGTGACAACACAGAGTCTCTAGCCTTAGTTGCAAAAGAGAGCACCTTTTATTCTTCCAGATCTTCTTTTATAGACAATTCCGAGAAGGTCCGAAAAAGTAAACCTCTCATTGGTCATCAAACCAACACATCACCATCATTGGACAATTGGGAACACCCCTTGACTGTTTTGTACAAGAAAACAACAAGGCAACAAACAACACCTGCAAAGATTGTTTTCTCTCTCAAAAGACTGTTTGGATTCCTCCTTATGATTTCCCAGGCCATACTTTCTCAGGCCAGTGTGAGAAAGTTGTGACTTTGTTTCACACAGACACTGTGCTGCCTGCCTGTTTTCTTGCATTTAGCATGCATAGTTTTGTCTTCTTTTTTTCTTACTCGCTCTGAACATAAGCTAAAATTAAACATTAGATTTCTGTTAATCTTATCCTCAGCAGCCCTCCTGCTTGAGTACATCATTTACACATTCACTTTGGCTTTATCACAGATAGAACACCAACCAATAGAGATATTTTGTTCATTACTTGGGGCGTTTTTAATGCTCATTTTTTCCTCTTAGTTCCAAATTTCTATTTTACTGCAAATGTGCCAAAATCTACATTGACCCTCCATCAAAATTTACGCCCTGAGATTTTAGTGTATTAACTGGGAAAGGGAAATGGTCGTGGGGAGGCAGTAGAAGAAGAGGATTGCATTGTGATTGTACTGCATCTTATAAGCCAATTATAAATGCATATCCAAAGTGTAGCTTAAGGAAGATTTCTCAGTAAAAAGTTTCAAATGCACAGAAACAGAAGATAGAGGAAATGAATATAGGACACGAATAGTGAGGTCTCTCACTCAAGGTTTCATGGTAATTTATGGAGCCATACAGAGATTTTTAGTTCATGTGTATATTTGACTCAGGCTACTAGCAGTCTCCTGCATTTTTAATAAATAATAACATTTATAATTCAAAGTAATTAGTAAACAGAGATGTTAACCCATCCATATCATAATTCAAACATAGGAAGGTTGCACTAACCTTGCCAGAGTAGGAATATACAATTTTTGAGGTCTAAGATTTCCAAAAAGGACATAGTTATACTGTTGTTAGTATAAAGAGTGGCACATAAAGGCAGCACTGACCTTAGGACTCCAGCACACCTGTGTCTGGACACAACTGTTGTGGGATTTGGCATTGCTTTGCATCACACCCTCCCAAATGATTTGGGGGTTTGGTACAAAATGAGGTAAGTTGTTAAGTAAGTAAATAGGGAAAAGGAAGGAAGAGATACTGTATTTCTAATACAAACATCTTTTTAGAAAACAAATTATCTAAAATACTTTGTCCTCTGCGTAAATAAGGTAATGAATTATATATTATAGTAATATATTAAGGAAGTAGATAACAGCTTAGAGAGCAAAAACTTAATGTTTTTGAGAACTTCCCAAGTCCAGTCTGATTTCTGAAGCTGTCCTTTGCACATTTGCAACAGAGAACGGAAAACTGTATTTTCTTTATCATAGGTGTAGAATGAAAGGTAGATTTGTGAGCAGGTAGAGAACATGTGAAAGCAAAAGCCACTGAATACCTGCTAATCAGGTATAAGAAGGAGCAACATTTTTTCTTATAAAACATAGGTGGTTCTATTAGAACTGTGTTGCTGTAAGTGGTTCCAGAAACCTTGGTAAATAAGGTATCCATTCCCTTTAAAAACTATGTTGTAGAAGATTCTAAACAGTGATTAATTTTTTTGTTTTCTTATGGATTGCTGAAGACTTAAAAAAGTAAACATGTGTGCATGCCTAAATGAAAAGGCTCATGTGTGAAGCAAGCTACAGTGGTTAAAGTATAATACTTTTACCAGTGTAGAGGTACCAGTGTACCATCAGACTTTCATCAGGTTAGATTTTGCAGCTTGTTGCCCTCCTTCCTCTTTAAAGGTGAACTGAAAAGCTTGGTTTATTTACCTGATTCTGTGACTGTTCTAAATGCATGTATTAATTATACACAGCTTGGGTTCCTGATACAATCTTACAAGCAATATGCAAACAAATGCCCCATTGCTTTTAAATGAGCAAAAGAATGTTAACCATTACAATGGTGTGCAGAAAAAATTCACATCATGAGAGGTTTATGTCCAAGAAGGAGACAGAGGAGTCCTGTAACTTTATTCATGAACAAAAGGAGAGGCCATGTGGCATTTCCCATGGAGTCTCTCAAATTGTTGGAGGACACAATTATATTGATTTTCCCAGCCACATCACCCTCTTTCCTTCTCCACTGGCTTGGTACTTGGCAGGTACTTGGAAGGTACAGGCTTCCCGATTTGCCTACTACATCTCCCCCTTAACACGTGTATGCGCACACACACCGCCCCTTGCATAAGATAGTTCTATCAAGTCTTTATTCTTTTTCTCGAAGTTCAGGAATTTAGCATGGCCTTGGCTGAGCAATAGTCCCTGTCAATTAGTAACATTTTCTGAAACTGGTAGTTTCTCCTGTTACTTCCTTATCTACAGTCTCTGGCCCTATCTACAAGCAGATTCACAGCACCTGTTTGTAAAGACACATTCATCTTATTCCTTTCAATGTTATGACTTGGGCTAAACAGCACCTGCCGAAGTGCCGGCCCGAGACGTTTTTGTTGTGAAAACAGTCTATACTTGCCGCAGTCAAGAGGTTTTTCGGTGTGGGTCCGAGCGTCGGGAAGGCTGAGGGCAGGGGAGGGCTCTGAGGGGCTTTACAGAGGGAATTGGCTTGGGCACTTGTTCACGAAGCTGGTGTCTCCCGGGCGAAATCCGGCCGGCAGGAGGGGCGGGTGCCCGTCCGTAGGGACACGCAAAGTGCAGAGGGGACACCCGCTCCTCGGGGAAGGCCCATGTACAGCGGGAGAGTTTGGCTGCCCCGCCCGGCGAGTAGCGAGGCGGGACGTGCCCCGGCCCTCGGCGCGGGGAGCGGGTAGCGTAGGGCAGCGCGGCGCGAACACGCCTGGCCCGCGTTGCCCGGGCGGAGGCGGCGACGGTGGCGTGCGGGTCGTGCGGATAGCGCCCGCGGGAGATGCGGCTGCGGCTCGGGCAGGTGCTGCCGGCGCTGTGCCTCGGCGCCGCCTTCCCCCTGCTGTGGTACGCGGTGTGGCAGGGGAGCCGAGGTGAGAGTGGGCGGCGGTGGCGCCCCGTCCTGTTTGTCTGGGACACGAAGAGCGCGGGGCGCGGTGGCACCTGCTGGACCCCTTTCGCCGGGCCGTCGGGGTAGTGCGGCGCTGGCTCCCTACCCGGTGTGCCCGCCTGGGTATGCCCACCTGGAGCCGCGCCCGACGGTACCGGGGGCAGCGGTAGCCGGCCGTCGTGCGGCTCCGTCCCGTCGTGCGGCGGCGAGTCGGGGCAGGGCATAGCCGGGTTGCGGCGGGGAGCGCGGCAGGTCGCCCCATCACCTCCCGGAGCCCCGGACCCACTCGGCTCTCCGGGCGTGCGGGGCAAATGAGGAACCTGTGTGGCTCCGAGGCTTGGCCGCGTGTAAGGTTGAGCATGCGGGTCTCGCCTGTTCCCCCGGGGTCGTGGCTTTGTCCCCAGGCACAACCTTGCGAAACAGCTTACAGAATTGTGTCCTTGGGCCGTACTTGCCCTATTAAAAATACAACCCTAAATTTAAGAAACAATAAAAGTTTATTTTGAACTTTTATTTTCCTAACTCTTTTTTTCTCCAACTCTTTTTCTAACAAGCATCTTGCATTAAGATGAAAAGAAAAATCTAAATGTGATTGCTGTGGCTGTCACTTTTAAAGTGGTTTTGATTTTATTGTCAGAGAGGATAAAGTAGCATTATCCATCCTGCCTCATGTATGGTCACTTTTTCCTGTGCATATTTCCAGGAAAAGAACAAGAGAAAAAAAATCGTATTTTTTATATTTTATTTCTAAACTTTATAATGATACACTATCTTTTTAGTAGGTTATGTAGGTGGCACATGCCAGATAGATCTACATAAAGCCATGTCTAAGATTCTCTGAGCCAATATAGGAAAGGTAGAACTGATGGTATTTTCCAAAAGGAAATGAGAAGGTCTTTCCAAATAGTATTTCTGAGACTTGCAGACATGTCTTGTTATGGATGAAGGGGTGGTTGATTTGGGGTGGGGGAAAAGAGTGGATCTTTAAGTGCTTCCTACATGCACCTTTGTAACAGGTTTGGTTTTATAGATGCAGAATTAGAATAAACCACTTAGTAATTTCTGGAATGATCACAACTCCAGCTAGCAGATAATTTGCTTATATTAATTATTCCTGCAACAAATAAAAGTGTTTTTGGAGATCTTGGCCCCACAATGGCATATTGAATAGAGTTAAGGCAGTGCTGATCCTCCTGCCTTTTAAGTCAACTATATGGTTGTTTATCTTACAACATTTTATGTTTTCTTCAGTGGCACTCCTGCTAGGAGTGGGAAAGGAAAATGAAAGGTGTGTCTTAGGAGGCTAAGATCCAAGAGATGTCAGAATGAAAGCGTTTGTCCAATCTGCAGTTACCATTGTGTTGTCTTGTGGCTCATGTTTTGGGACTCCTCATTACTGACATTACATTTTCATTTCACTTTCTTTTTGATGTTTCTCTGATGACATTCCATAGTGGGCTGTTTTGCTTTGATATTTGATTTGTTTTTGTTTTGTTTGTTTTGGGCAAGAGGGATAATGTGTTTCGCGTACTTGTGTTGTCTTAACTATTCTTTCCACAGTTGGCTCCTCCTCCACAGTAAACTGAGTAACTAATTCCTCTCAGATGGTATAATTTTTCTAATGATGATGATGATGATTATTATTATTACCTGGGGTTTTTTTGCCAACTTTTGACCATTGTATATATGAATATGTAGTCTAAAGTCTAAAAGACTCTCTTAAGCTTGATAAATCTCACAAATGTGTAAATAAAATAGTTAATATTAGTAATGAAAAGGGAAAGTAGCAGTATGTAGTGAATGACTTTGTGTTATGTTTATTTTACTGAAAATATAGTCTTTGTTCCCAAGGGGTGTTAGAAGACAAGCCTTCTACCCATCCAGAAAACCTTAAGAACAGCTAGCCATAGGTAACAACAAAAAAGGTTGTTACCGTTTTCTACAGAGAGAAGCATTGCAAATGCACTAATGCTCTGTTGTTGTCACAGGGTATTGGTTTAAGAAAATGGTTTGAAATTAATCTTTTGCTCTGAAAACAGACATATATATCTACTTGGATGTTTTTAAACCTCTGTTTTTTTCCTTCTGCCATGCTGAATTTGCTCTGTATTGTCATGCTTAGAGCACTACAGGAATTTCCACTTTTGGTGCATCTCAAACTACGATGTGTGTTTTCTAGTGTCCTTTTCACTTAACCCTTCACTTCACCAATTTCTGTGAGTACTGCTGTAGCTTGTCAGCTCCCCTCTCTTTCCCTTATTTTTCAAATGTTTTCTGGCTCATTTTCTTTCATACATTTGTGTAAATCTCTCCTAACTTTTGTTAACTTCTCTGCTCTGCCCATAGAAATGTTTAGGCTGCTCTTGATTTTTGACTACAGTCTATCACACTAAGTAGCAGTAGTCTGTAGTATTCCTTCAGGTTTCTATCTAGTTAATTGTTTCTTGGATAGCAGTGGTTTGGGGATAGTAAATAAGCTTTGTAAGACTAGGACAGGACACCCAAGCTTAAGACTAGTGGTCTTAAGTATTTCTATAACATAAAAAGTATAATTGTCCTGCAAAATATTGTTCAGTTTGTCCAGTCTCAGAGCCCTTGAATATTAGAAGTTTAAATCAGATATTGGCTCTGTCCCAATTTCTGTGCAAATAAAAATCAGTAGCTTAAGTCAGTGACCTTCAAATGCCTTTCAATTAAGGTAGCTTGAGAGATTTGAATTGAAATGTGTTTACTGTCAATGACAGCAGTAAATAATTGGCTCTTTGGTGCTGCTTCTGATTATGTGCAGCCTGAGTATTGACTTGGAGTTGTGAGGCTAAAATCAAGTACAAGTATGGCAATAGCAGGGAAGATGCTACTCACTCATTCACTTAAAAATAAAAGATCAGAATCTACCACTGTCACTAGACTTCAGTTATTGTGGATAATACTGTGTATATTTTAACTGTGGTTAGGAAAATGTTTTTATAGTCACTTTTCCCATTGCTTTATAAATATAAGTGAAGGTTTCATACTAAATATAGTGATATTTTGTGGCCAGAAAAAAAAAAAAAGAGATAAAAGTAATTGTGGAGACAGCTGGTAATGGTCAGATCGTCAGAGAAAGCGAATACTGCATCTAAAGTTGTGTGGTGATTCCTTCAGCGTCCACTGGAGCACTTGTGAACATAGGCTGCTATTAGAAAGCAGTCTGCAGCAATTCCCGTTCCATGTCCTGCATGGTTTTGCTGTGAACTTTTTGGTCCCTCCGCAGGCTCCAAGCCAAACTTGTCTGAAGCAAACAGTTTGTATCTGAGCATAGGAAAGACTGTTAGGATTATGCAGAGGTTTCTGCTTGTGAAACTTGAATAACAATTCTCTTGTTAATTCACCTGACCTGACAAAAATACTCTTCATGTAGGTTTGGAGTTCTGAGAAATAATATACAATTTTTAAAATACGTAGTGATTTTCTCACACAATTTTAGCTATTGTTTTTACCTTGTAAATACTAATCCATAAAAAAAAAATAAATCACAGCTATATAAAAACAATAAAGTAAATGTAAGGAGGTAGCAATGTTTTCCCCACTTGAAAAACAGAAGGCATAAACTCATGAACTTATATTAAGCTTCTTCAGAGGAAACAGTATTGCTGAATAAAAATAAATTTTGGTGCCTTTGCTCAATAACAGTGAAATTCCTCTAAGTCACAGCAATGAGGTAAATTGGATCATCTCTTTTGGCAGTGCTTCTCATGTTGCTCTCAAGGGTTACAAGATTAAATCTCTTTGAATTGATTTGTTGACATGGTGCTGCCCTCTTCACCTAAATTTCTGGGATACTTTGTCCAAGTAAATTAAATTAGTTAAATTAAAAGTTAGCTTTGCCTGGAGTTAGAAGTTGATGCAGAAATACTATGGCGCAAGGATCTAGGCATGTTAATATACACATCTTGAGTCAAACACTGTGAAACCTGAATTTCTTTAGTTGTTCCTTTGAGGTAGGATGAACAAGAGAGAAACTACTCTTATGATTACATTGACAGAATATGTACATCTGTATCTTGAATTTGTTCCACAAATCGGGAGGGGGGGGGGGGAAATTTCATCATTGCAAAGGGTTAAAGAGGTATTTCTGATGAAAGTATTTTTTTTCCTTGTTGAAATACAGTAATGTACATGCTAGTCCAGACAGCATGATTACACATTTCTTGTATTTCCAGCCATCTTCTGCCTGTGATGTTATGCTTTGTTTCAGCTGTGCAGCCAAGTGCAGGTCCTCAGGAGATTCTGTCATTTGTGACAGAGTTCTTTGCAGGTTTCCTGTCCAGTCCAAACTGGCATACTCAGGCTCAAAGCTTCAATTAAATAGTGGCAAATTGACAAATTTGATAAGGAAGTCTCGAATTACACTGCTCTTACTCACTTCTGCCAATACAGCTTATCCAGGTTTCTGAACATACAGACGCCAATCTTCCTGTCTTCTCTAGAACTGTTAGGCTGTGTTTAACCACCACTTTTCCCAGCTGTCCTAGCTGACTGGTAGGCTATGTCTTGCCTTCATGTGTACATTGCCTTCCAGTGACACTGAGAGCAAACAGAGATTATTGCACATTAAGGTTTTGCCTCGATATGTGGCAGTTAGGATGTGGCTGAAATACACAGTGTGATAAGGAAAGTTTTTCAGTCCATCTATTGCTTACTCAGTTTCTTTGTGTAGTTCTGCATTTTGGCATTAAAAAAACCCTCCAACATACAACAGCCTCAAATGGTCCACTTAAAGTTTAGTATTTACTGGTTCAAAATTTCATAGCAAAATTCATATCCTAGACTTAGAAAAACTGTGTAGTTTTGCTGGCTTCAAAGTGTAATTTACTAAATTAAGATTCTGCTGCTTCTTACTGTTACTTCAGGACTGTGACTAAAGAGTAAAGGAACTTAGCCATAAATCTTGTGGTACAAAAGGAGGCCAGTTATTGTTGTGTTTTGTAGAGAAAGGGATAACGGAGCATTTCAGACCTCTCTTCATTTGCTGTAGTGTCACGTCATAACCGGTACTTAAACAAGTGCAAACATATGACCTTCGTGCTTTTCCTAGTGTTGTGCACTAAGTCTTGAGGAACAGAGTATATTCTACAGAAATACCTTAGTTGGTGGCTAGGCATTTAACTAAATGTGTGTATAATTTAGTAGCTGTTGCTACCTCAGGAAGAGAAGTAAAGGATTTAAAATACCAACCATATTGCAATAGCAATTGTTTGAAGTGAATGAGTACTACCTTATAACCAAAGTGTACCAATTATGGGCAAACACCATATAATATCCATTCAATTTCTATATCTTTTCACTTATTTTAGTAATACTGCTTTCCTATATGGTGATGTTCTGACTGAATGTTTTAAGATGACTTTTCACTATGTCCTAATATGGGAAAAGACTTAAGTCTAAAATGAGGATTGTTGGCTAAC